ACCATTATATTACTAAGAGCAACAAGTTGTCTTGACTTATCAGTAGGGGACGAAGCTCAGAGGAAACTTGCTTGCTTTGCATGATTGAGGTCCTGGGATCTATCCCCAGCATCTTCCGAAGTTTTGTGGCTTTTCAAATGTCATTATAATCAGCTGAAAGATTAAACATTTTACTAATGAGCAGTTATAAAATGCATGTTCCCATACCGAGGGTCGAACCCGGGCCGTCTGGGTGAAAACCAGGAATCCTAACCGCTAGACCATATAGGACCTTGCTAACCAATGAGATGAATTGCGTATTCGGTCCTCCACGACACCCAACCACTAGACCATATGGAACATCGTTAAGGAATGAGATGAGAGTAGTTATAACCAGCTGAAAAAGATAAAACATTTTACCAATGACCGGTTATAAAATGCATGTTCCCATACCTGGAGTCGAACCCGGGCTGCCTGGGTGAAAAACCAGGAATCCTAACCGCTAGACCATATGGGAGCTTGTTAACCACTGAGATGAAATGCGTATTCGGTCCTCCACGACACCCAACCACAGGACCATATGGAACATTGTTAACCTCTTAAGCCCGAAAGTCCCCGGTACCGGGGACTTGCCCCCTTGTGCGTTACATTTTCACTCATAGCTCACGAACCCTGAGAATAACCCACACATATTAAATGCTGTTGTGTTCAGCGGAAACTCCTCTAAAAACGTATCTAATTCACTTTCATATCCGTTAACCACAGCTCGAACGCCATGCAAATAAACAACAACATGTCCGGAGTATAATTCATGACCACGTTTTTGTTTATGTGCGATATGTATCCACAATATAAACGGAAACGTCAAAACCATTACATTAAATGAAAGCTAACAACCAGCTGAATCCAGTGATATGCAACTCATTAACATTGCATGAAGTATTTCAGAGCAGGGAGCGAAAGTTCCACGAAAAAACGCCAGCGAAAACCAAGCAAGCATGTAAATCTTGTCTTACCTTTGCCGTTTTTTCAACAAAAAGTTATTTCCATAGCGATAAAAGTCCGTTTGTTGTTATGTCCGGTCGATAGCTTCGCGAAAAGTCCATTTTGAGTTTTTTCTGTTGCTCCAGTGCTCCTCTTACGTCACCAAATATGGAATGACTCCCCGTGCGTAAGAGCACGTCTCTCCACGCTGCGCGTCGTGTGATTCGTCGGCGATCCAGTCAGTCTCAAAATGGTTGAGCTGATTGGTTTCCTCAGAATCAGAGCTTTCCAGCGATGTAGAGAGCTCCCGGATTGGACAGATGGTCGGGGGGTAGGGACATGCAGAAGCTCGACGTCGAAAGCGTTTGTGAATGAAAGGTTCCCAAAAGCGCAGCAAGATGGCGTAAATGAGCTTCTAGCCCCCTTTTACAGTGTTTCTTTAGGAGGTTTTTTTGCTGAAATCATGTCCCATAAGCAAGAAAAGAAGACTATGAACGTAGCTGAAGCTTTGGACAAGATTTTTTTCATATTTCAATTATTGTGCCAAATTGTGCCAAACTGTGCCAACATGGTTTACGCCTGAACTTTGTTCAATCAAAACCTTTACAGAATATTAGTTTCTTGTAGTATGAACACCAAACTTGCTACAGATGTCCTTGACATGTAGTGGTTACAATTGATTGTGTTTATTTGCTTCGTTATAAGTAAAATAAGGAGATATTGGAGGAAACATGTGTTTGTTTTTTTTTAGGCGGAGTTCATTTTTTGGCCATTCCAACATCAATTACTCTTACCCAGTGTTCTTGACTGTCAAATTAACTCATCCACACCACTCCCCAAGAACCTATCTTCATTTTGATACCAAGATTTGCAGTTTAGGCCTTGTAAAAGCTGAGAAATGCCTTAAAAAGTAAAAGTATAGGATTTT